CAGGAACCAGGAGCTGCTTCTGGGTCTCCTACATGGGTGTAGGGCCCAAGGACTTGGGTCGTCCTCTGCTGCTTTCCCAGGCCACAGCAGGGAGCTGGATCTGAAGTGGAGCAGCTGGTGCTCAAACCGGTGCCCATATGGGATGCTAGAGCTGCAGGCTGGGTCTTTAACCCGCTGCACCAAAGCACTGGTCCCGATGGTGTAGCTGTTATACACCTAGGCTATATGGCATATACAAATATATATATATTCATAGCCTATCGATGTAGTCTATTGCTCCATGATGTAACCTGTTCCTGGGACTGTGATGAACAACACAAGATTACATCAAACACAAGAGAAAATAATGCAGTCAAGAAACATAGTAAATGCAGAATGTATGAGGCTGCCTCAAAATGAAACACATAGCTTATTGTTTTATAGTAAACTTTCCATAAGTAGAAAGAATGCATTCTAAAATATTGATTAAAAAGCATAGTATAAGGGATAGCATCGTGGTGCAGTGGGTTAAGCCGCCACCTGCAACCCTGCCAATCCTCATGGGCACTGGTTCAAGTCCCGGCTGTTCCACTTCCAGTCCAGCTTCCTGCTGATGTGCCTGGGAAAGTATCGGAAGGTGACCCAAGTCCTCGAGCCCCTACACCCACGTGGGAGACCCCAAAGAAGCTTCTGGCTTCTGACTTTGTCCTGGGCCAGCTAACCATTGTGGCCATCTGGGGAGTGAACCAGTGGATGGAAGATTATTTTTCTTTGTGTGTGTGTGTGTGTTGTATGTCTTTCTGTCTCCTCTTCTTTCAGTAACTCTGCCTTTCAAATTACTATATAAAAAAGAGATACTGTCATAAGATGATTAATCAGAGATAGGAGATTAAATACATTTAAAGTTACAAATACTGGAGGCACTAAATAATAGAACTAATGCAAATTGTAAGAGGAGGGGAGGTGGTACTGTATCTCTTATCTTTTATATCAGAAAGCACCAGGTCGTGTCTAAAGCTGATACATCTAGAAAGAACAACATACATGTATCACTTAGAGGTAATAACTGAACGGCTAACAGTTAAAAACAAAAGCGACAAACTCATTATCTTTACTTTTTTTTTTTACCATAAACATGAATTTCTTTTAATGTCATTATTAAGTTGTAGGGCAACTTGGAATATAATTCTCATTAAGTTGTAGAGCAAAATTTTCTTCTACAAGAGAATTCAGTGTGATACTTGTCTTCTTTCATTCCTTCTCAAAGTCTTTAAGCTATGTTGGAGCACTGTTGATGGGGACTGCGGTACTCCAGAAGTGCAGCCAATTTAGTGTTTAAAGGGCATGAATTAGATATTATTTATCTTTATATTCACCACCCCGAGTCCTCGTGCATTTATTGAAGCAGAAAGGGAGCTGTTGTAGTTTTCTTAAGTGGCCTATTGGAACCATCAAAGTGTTTCACACCTCAGACTGTGTATCCGGTGCTGAGTGTACTTGAACCTCTTGTCTCACTGCAGCATGGGATTCTGTGTTAGTGGCCGATCCATTGTCACACTGCAAATATACAAGGGTTCTTCCAGGTAAGTTCCTGGGAAATGCAATTAAAAAACAATGTTATTTCGGTGCCAAAAAAAAAAAGGAAATTGTGCATATGAGTGCATATGAGTACAGTGCAAAAAGTTAATGAAACTGCACATTAGAAAAAAGTCTGCATGGATTTCAATGATTTTGTACCATCTTTTAATTCCATTTCCCATGAGCTTTTTGAAATACCCTTGTCTGTATATTTACAGAAACACGTATCCATCACAGAGAGAGTGTCCCTCTAGGACCCATTTTTTCCCTCTTCCTCTCTGCGTTCTCCTGTGCACAGTGACCACACTGTACCAGCACTATTCTATTAGTGGTCAGTGCAGGCCCCTGCACAGAGACCAGTCCATTGTGAAAATGGCTCAAGGACGAGATGGACCCAACCGGTGCTCTTTGGGGCCACTGAGAAATGTCTCTTGAGAACCCTGCTAAAAAAAAAAAATCTCTTATTGAGAATTTTCTAGCTGACACTCATCATTTTCCCTTGGGTCTTGATAAAGAGACTGTGATTCTCAGTGGCTTATGCATTTCATCATTTCAAATGAATTTCAGAAATTGCATCACCTAAAATGTCAAGATGTTGGGGAAAGTTTTGTGTTTTATTCTTCCTGAAGGACAAAAAAAAAAAAAAATCTTACACTCTGTCTGAATCCCCGAACTTGCATTTCCCCAGAAAGACTGATTCGGTGTTGGCACCAAAACTGCTGAGAGCACCCTCTCCCAGACTGTTGGTAAATGTCCTGTGTGGCCCCTTGGCATCTTTCCGGTGTGCAAGAACCTGTGCTGTTTTCCCCGTTGCCACAACATGAGTGCTACTAAGAGCAGAGATAATCAGCCACAGCTTTGTCCCCATGCTGAGGCCAGCCCATGCCTCCCGCGGCCCCCGGATCCCATGTGCAGTAAATCCTGGGTCCTCTCCACCTGTGGGTTATTTGACAGCGTTTTTGGTCAAGGTAAAATCTATTTCTTCAGGCATCCAAACAAGGTGTTTGTTTCTGTTATTGATTTCCTGTTTTCTGTTCTAAGTCGTTTGGAAGTGTTGTTGCCTGCGCCTGCTTAGCCTTCTGTTCTGCATTCTTGATTATAATGGTGTGTGATGTAACTACTGGCAGATTTAAACTGGGGAAGGTAACTGATTTCTGAAAAGCAAAGAGAAAAAGTCCACGTCTGTTTAGTTTTGTCTTACCTAATGCACGTGTTATAACTCTGTTGTTCAGTGATACTGCGACTGCTCAGTGGGAAAATGATTCTGCAAAGAACTAAATTAGATTATCTTCCAGCATGGAAACCAGTGAGCCGGGCCTGAAGTGTCTCTTAAATGAGCACATCACAAAAAGACAAAATACAAGCAAATCTTCAGAAAGTTTATGGCAGCTGTGTACTATGAAAAAGCTATCTGTGGGCTTCATAGTTTGTGTTTTTTTTTTTTTGGCAAGAAAATGAATGTATTTTTTATTCCATTTCCATGAACTTAAAAAATATTATATAAAAATAAGAACTTTAGAGTAATTTATTAGCTTGTTGCCTTTGCTTCTGCTTCCTTGTGGTTGCTTGCCTCTTGGGGACCCAGCTGGCCAATGATTATCATCAAGGCAGTTTCAATGGATATTAGTGGCTTTTTTGGTTTTGCTGTAAACTCCCAGGCTTTTTGATCACGTGGCTGTCCCCCATGGTGGTTCTGGTCCAGAATTACATCTTGGAGGTGTGTCTTCTTTGTAGGGAAGGAGAAGCAAAGATGCAGTTTGCTCTTGAGTTCAGTGTGGGAGGTATCTTTGGGGTACTTTCATCGTGTCATTTAAAGAGTCATGTCTGAACTTGGTGACCACAAGCTAATGTCCATGGCTGGTGAAGGGGGCTTGGTACATGTTTCAGCCGGAGGATCTGAACCCAGAAGACTAGAAAGTTCTGGGAGATGTCCAGGGCTGGCCTGAAAGAGCCAAGCAGGTTGCCAACATCAGGTCTGTTTCGTGCCATGCACAACCTTCTCTGGGGTCTAGGCAATGCCTATCACTGGACAACCATCAGCAGCTACAGCCAACATACTCTTTTTCTCAAAGATCCTCTTCTTTCCATCCTGAGCCTCCACAAAGTCAAAAGAAGCTCCTTACAAAACAAGGATGGGTGGTTGAAACCACCAGTGGCCAAGGATGGGAAATGCGTGGTTCCTATTGCAAGACAAGTTTAAAACTACAAAAAAGTGAGCTGGTTCCAGACTCCCCTAAATAAAACCCATTCAGTCCTCCATCAATCCTCAATGGTTCTTTAACTGGCCTTTCACATTGTGGTGGGCATTGGAATCTAATTTTTATTCCAGGCTCATGATCCCAGAGATGAGTTTCAAAGCATAAGTATAGTACACAAGTAGGAGGAAGATTTATCTTAAAGCAAGAGAGTGAATGTACATTCAGGTGAGAGAGGGCAGCCCCACATGGAGAGCGACGTTGTGAGTGGGTCAGAGGAGCCAGCACGGGAGGAGGCCAGAGAAGGACTCTTAAGTGAGGTCCAGGACCGAAAAGCAGAAGAGAGTTCTCATGGATGACAGTCACTTTTATGGGGTAGGGGGTGGTACCCTAATCGAACTCACAAGCAGGGTGGAATCTGGGCGGAGTCTAGTGTGTGTGAAGCTTCCTGAGACTTTCACAGCACCTCCACGTGGAGGTTAACTTCCAGGTGGCACCATGGCGTCTCTTCCTTCCTGCTCCTAGATGAAGCAGCGATAGCTTGGGAAGGTGGGCGTATTGGATTGACAGGTAAGGGAGTGAAGTTACAGTGCAGGGCTAGAGGCAGAAATTACTAGAAACATCTCCCTGCTCACCTGTTCCTACCTAACCTTCCTCCCTGGTTCCCCTACATCAGGAAGGTCAGGAAGGGGTTTTTACATCTTACTCTGGGTAATGTGTGAATCACAAAACCTGCCATGAGCTCTCCATGGGGTGTCATTCTTGGGGGATCTCATGACCAGTGGTACAGTTTCAGTGCTATGGAACAGTCTGTCATCCGGGCTGTCATTCAGCCTGACCCAGTCTGACTTGTGTTAGCAGAAGGGATCAAAGTTCAAAGTGCCTTGGCTGTAGCATACGAATGCATTCATTTCCTGAAATTTTCTGAAAATGAAGTGGAAGGAAAACAGCTTCTATCTGTTCAGATATTCATCTTCTGTCAAGGACTCTTCTCCAAGCCTCTGTTGGCAAATCGCTCCTAAGTACCTGCTCACAGATCTGTGCCTGGGCCGTTGGGTTGCAGAGAAGAAATTATTTTGCAAATCTGGGTTCTCAGACAATAAAACATGTTTTAAAAGCCTCCTGCTGCACACTCTTGAAAGATTGTTAATAGGAGCTTGGAAATATATTTAATCTCTCTTAAAACTTAAAGACTGTAAGACTCATGTGTCCCTGTTGTTTTTTTTTTTTTCCTGCTTCCTTTTGAAGAGAAAGGTGACGCGGAGCCAGAGAGTCCAGACAATGGCACGTCCAACACCTCGTAAGTCTCTTTGTGTCTCCGTCAGAGATGACGGTTCTTAAAGATGCCTTAGCAAATGAAACAGCCTGAGTATCTGGTAATAGTTATAATGGAAGGAAGCCTGGGTTCCCTTTTCTCATAGTTAGGTATTTTTAAATGCCTCTGGGTACAGATGCCTCCTGAGGCCTTCTTTTTTTTTTATGATATAACATAAAAAGAGGATTCTTAAAAATGCGAATGCTACTTTCTATAAAACAGGAAAGTACTGAGACATGAGGATATGTGCTGAGGGTGAAGGGGGTGTCCTTTAGAAGACTTTCAGCACTGTGCTAAGGACTTGTCACACATACTTGGTGGGGGGAGGGCACTCTATCCCACTTGAGATGCCTGCCATCTACAACCTAAACTCTCAGTTGCATGAAAAATATAATTGTAGTTATCTCTGGAATTGCAAGAACTTGTGGAGGTTTTTGAATTAAGCAGTCTTAAAAAAAATAAGAAGAGGTGATTATAAAAGCATGGGTTCCTTATCCTGTGTTTTATCTTTTCCCTGTCAATATTAAAGGAATCCAAGTATATTTTTAATGATTAATTTGATCCCAAACTGCTACACCAACATTTAAATAAAATAATTCACAAGCCATCAGACGACTTCGTTTTAGCTTCATCAGGGACAAGTATCACTTCTCAGGAGTAAGATGCGTTTCCTTAGTATAAGACAGAGTTGTAAATCTATTTAAATGTAGGTCATTGCTGCTCTTTCTAAACATTTGAAGTGCTGTTATTCCTTAGAAGCCCTCGTTTGTGATGTGATTGTCTTGTGTTGTCTGAGATTTGTTTCTTAATCTAGAAAGACCCCTAGGCTTACACAGGGTAACTATGGATTTCATTAGAAATGTGACTGTATGTTTGATTTTCATATTATCCTGGAAGTTCTAAATAGTTCCATTGTTTTGATGTCCGATGATATATTGAGTGTGACTGATCTTACGTGGTTGAAATATTACTAATTCTTAAATATTTTGTGCTGCAAAATATAGTGGGAAAGTGGTTTGAATGCCATCTGGAGGCGTTCTAGAGAACTGAGAGGGGCAGAATCATTTAAAAAATCCGTTCTTTTGAGTAATATTGGTATCGACAGTAAGGGCTGCCCCACATCCAAGTTCATGACTGCAAGAAGGAATTCAGGAGTGAGCTGGAGATTGTGAATATTGAACAGCAAGCATTGTATTGACAAAGCAGATACACACTCCACAGACAGAGCAGGGCCTTCTCGGAGGAGAGCGGTCCCATCTCTGAACTGTGTTTGATGTCACATGGATCATTGAATGGAAGGGAAGGTACATTTTAATAAAAGCGTGGTACATTCTAATAAGGAAGAATAATATTCATGATTTTGCTGGGAAGTAGATGGAAAGTTCCCAGAATCCAGCTACTGCCCATTTTCTCTCCTTGTGTGGTCAGTGTTTCCTTGTCATGGAGGCTGGTAGGTGTGTCATTTAGCATGCTAATGTATTACAAGAGAGCGTATGGTAAGTTCAAGAGTGGCCGTAGGAGCTATACTTACTTTCAGGAGGGCCAGGGGTAATGGGCTTACCCAGTTCTTAGAAGTGTCTTAGTGCAGTTTTTCTAGGGTTGTTCAGAACTGATTTTCCTTTTCTACCTTTCCTGGAGATGGTGGCCTCCAGGAAGAATGCGGTTTGTAAGTAATTCCTGAGGCCTTCGATCTTTGTTGAGCCATCTTAGCAGTGAAGGAAGGATCATTGGCACCCAGGAGAGTGAGTGGTAACCCAAAGCATGGGATAGTATATTTTAGTAAGAATGTAGCCACTTCTGTTGCCTTTTCTGTATGACTTGGGCAGGCTTCCACCTCCCAGTGAAGCTATCCATAAAGACAAGGGGGACCCAGAGCCTCCATCGGAGGGCATTTGAGTATAGTCCACTTCTCCATCTTCCCCTAGGTGAGAACTCTGACGTTGAATGGGTTCCATGAGACGATGACCTGGCTCATTCTGAAGGCGTCGTTCACAAGCCGTCGTTACTTCTTTTACAACTTGGAAAGGCCCTCTCCTATGAGCAACTGTGTCTCTAGTCTAGTCACCGGCTCTCTTCCCCCATGAGGGGCACTTTCCATTGTTATGTCAAAGGAGGAAAAAACTTCTCAGCCTGTTCTAACCATCCTCTGGCATCTGTTTTAAGTGGGGATCAAGGTGCCCGAGCCTCAATGGCTTGTAAGGCTGCCATTTTGGCGGCTCCATCAACTAGGCCATTTCTTTCAATGATCTGAATATCCCCTCCCTTTAAAGATTTAATTATTATTTGTTTGTTTATTTATTTGAGAAGCAGAGTGACAAAGGGAAGGGGAGAGAGAGAGAGAGAGAGAGAGAGAGCGAGCGAGCGAGAAAGAGAGAAAAAGAATCTTCCATCCACTGGTTCACACCCCAAATGGCCACAATAGCCAGGTCTTGGCCAAGCTGAAGCCAGGAGCCAGAAACTCCCTTCTGGTCCCCCAGTAGGTGGCAGGGGCCCAATTGCTTAGGCCATCATCTGCTGTCTTCCCAGGTACATTAGCAAGGAGCTTGATTGCATGCAGAGTATCTGGGATTCTAACCAGCACTCTAAGTATGGGATACCAACATCACAAGCAGCAGCTGAACCCACTGTGCCACAAAGCTAGCCCTGAATATCCCTTTTGATGCTCCCAGCAGTGAATTATCTTGAAGTCCTTGGACATTAATACTGCTTTTAATTTTAATGTGTCCTTATATTTAATTGGGGAACTCCTTGCCTTTTACACCCAGATGGCTGCATGGGCATGTAAGATAAGATTGAGAAAGCATATTTGGAGTGTGTGTGTATATGTATAAGTATAAGTATAAGTATATGTATATGTATATGTATATATATATGTATACGTATATGTATATTCCCTTCCCAAGTAAGAACAGTAAGTTTAGCCTTTCAGGCAGAGGTATTGAGTGGCAGGGCTTTGCCTTTAGAACCTGCCATAGACTGATCATTGCAGATACTTTACATAAGTCACTCCTTCCATCATTAAGCTATTCCGCATCAGGATTAAATAATGATTCATCCTTTTATAGACCTGGCATAATAGAGTATTTTCCATAGTTTCTTTTTTTTTTTTTTTTTTTTTTTTTTTTTGACAGGCAGAGTGGACAGTGAGAGAGAGAGACAGAGAGAAAGGTCTTCCTTTGCCATTGGTTCACCCTCCAATGGCTGCCGCGGCCGGCACGCTGCGGCCGGCGCACCACGCTGATCCGATGGCAGGAGCCAGGTACTTCTCCTGGTGTCCCATGGGATGCAGGGCTCAAGCACTTGGGCCATCCTCCACTGCACTCCCTGGCCACAGCAGAGAGCTGGCCTGCAAGAGGGGCAACCGGGACAGAATCCTGTGCCCCGACCGGGACTAGAACCCAGTGTGCCAGCGCCACAAGGCGGAGGATTAGCCTAGTGAGCCGTGGCACCGGCCTTCCATAGTTTCTATGCAAGAGGGTATTAATTCTCTATCATCTGGCTCAGGCAAATGGGTGGCTGGATTTAAGATATGGCAGGTTGGGGCCAGTGCTGCGGCACAGCAGGTTAACACCCTGGCCTGAAGCGCTGGCATCCCATATGGGTGCCGGTTCAAGATCCAGCTGCTCCTCTTCTGATCCAGCTCTCTGCTCTGGCCTGGGAAAGCAGTAAAAGATGGCCCAAGTCCTTGGGCCCCTGCGCCCACTTGGGAGACCCAGGGGAGGCTCCTGGCTCCTGGCTTTGGATCGGCACAGCTCCGGCCATTGCGATCATCTGGGGAGTGAACCAGTGGATGGAGGACCTCTCTCTCTTTCTCTACCTCTGTAACTCTGTCTCTCAAATAAATAAAATAAAATCTTAAAAAAAAGATATGGCAGGTTTTGAGGATGACCTCAAGGGAGTGTAACAGCAAGGCTTTGCATCTTGAGTTAACCATGGATGATCTTTAGCTTTGAGGGCCCCCTCTGCTTGATGAGGAGTTGACCTCAAGTTAACTAGTTTGCCTCTTCAACCATTACAGCTCTAGCTGCTATAGCCCTTAGGCATCCTGGCCATCCTGCTACCACAGGGTCCAGTTGTCTAGAGAATCAAGTCACTAGCCAATGCATCTGACCCAGGTTCTGGGTAAGGATGCCTAGTGCTTATCTCTTCCCTTCCACCACAGCAAAGTGAGTGGCTCTTTTTAGCTGAGAGGTCTAGGATAGGGGCTGTTTTTAGCTTTTCCTTAAGTTCTCAGAATGGTCTCTGGAGTCCCCCAATCCATTTGAGGAGCTCCTGTTTGGATGCTCTGAGGGTCATATCCAAGGGCATGGCTATGAGTCCAAATGCAGGAGTCCAGATCTGATTGAATCCCACCATCCCCGGGAATGTCCTGGTTTGCAGTGGTGGGACTGCGAGAATTGCTTCCTTGCAGCTAATTGTCAAGGCCCATTTTCGTGGAGTAATTGAATGTCCTAGGTGCTTTACCTTTTGGGATGAGATGTGTGCTTTAGCAGGGGAAACCCTACATCCCTATTCTCGCAAGCCATTTAAGGCCTTCATAGCATTGTTATCAAAGTCCTCTTAAGTAGGGCTGCAAATATGATCCTCTACGTATTGTAAGTGGGTTCCCTGCTCTAAATATAACTGTCCTCATTCTTCAGCCAGGGCATTTCCAAACAAATGAGGGCTGTCCACGTACATTACTGGACAGTTTGTGTGTCGTGATGAGTCCGTTTAAAGGCAAATAAATACTGGGATATTGGATGCAGTGGCACACAGAAGAATGCATCTTCTAGATCTAGAACTGAACCATTTGGCTGCTGCGGGTGTCTGGGTGAGCTAGTGCGAAGATTAGAAACTGTCAGGTGTATGAGGATTGTAGCCTCATTTATCATGCTTAGATACTCTACACACCTACATGCCCCCTTTTGTTTCTTTATGGATAGGTTAGGTGAGTTACAGGGAGCTTGACAAGGCCTTAGAAAATCAAAGGCACTTGGAGACTG